TTGCATATAATTTCACGATTTCCTGGGAATATTAAAAAAACCCACAAATAAATTATTCACAGTTTAAAAGTATGTTTGCCTGAAGTGTTTGTAATAACACCTCTAAGTTAATCAGCATGATAACAGATCCCTTTAAATCATTACCTGCCATAGGGAGAACAAGACCTTTATAACTCAATCCACTTTTACAGCACATTACAATTTTCTTCTCATACCATATCAGCTGAAGCTAAACAGACACACAGAACAAAGGGAATCTACCCTCCAAGGCTGATTTCACAGTTCAAAACATAGAAATTGAATGAGACTGTGCTCTCCCTAGAAGTTTACTGTTTGCTCTCTGCAGCAAGAGGACTGCTGCAGGCCCACTGACAGCAACGTGAAGCTCTTTGCTTATTTTTTTCCATTACAATAACCATTAAAGAGAGAAACGGACCCACTCCCATGTCATGAATACCGAGGCTGGAGATCATCGGGCTTTGCTGAGTAACTATCTCGAGTCCGTTTTGGAATGAACGCTGGTAACACCAGCAGTGTCCTCGGAACCATCTGATGCCCCCGGAGGTACCGCGCGCGCGGCTGCAGCCGGGGTCTGACCTCTTGCAGGGGCCGGGGAGCGGCAGCGCACGGCAGTGAGCAGGGGCGAGCAGTGGAAGCACAGCTACGTAATTAGTCGCCGCTTCCCATGGACATCAACGGGCAAAACAGATGATGATTTCAGTAGGAATAACATCAGGTTCAACTCTTAAGACAATTAATTCACTGGTTACTTTTATTACACAGTTGTGGTCAAAATCTTAAGGGCAGTACGTTAGTTTCTATCTGGATTGATTCTTTAATATGGTTCATATGAAAGATAGGAATCTATGGACCATTTCTCATTTCCGATTGTGGTTAGAGATTATAAATGATTCCTAATGATTAAATCATTCCTCTGTAGTCATTAAGAGTTTTTACATTCTTACTATATATTTATTTAACTGACTACTGAAGAAACAGCACGTAGCTTGTGGTTCTTTTGTACAAATCAATAACATGATTATAATTTTTTCATTAAATAATTATCCCTGGCTTGCTTTTCTTTTGATTGTTTTGAAATTAACAGGGAACTCCCAAACACCAGATATTTTGAAAAAAACACTTCTAGCCTGATTTATCATAAATGGTTAAGGAATTTGAAAAAAAAAGATGGTAAAAGTGTAGATTTGTCAAGAGCTCCCTGCACACTGCTACTCTCCCGAAAGCACCGGCATGCTAATTTTTATCACTTGAGAGCTGGCAAATCCAAAGCTATGACCAAGTTTTGCGCGAGTAACGTACTGGTGAGTTAGCGTAAGGTCAGGAGGAGCGGGCAGTGCTGCAGACCCACTGGGGAAGCCCCCGCAGGAGGCCTGGGCGCTCCCCAAGCCCCCCGGGCGCGGGGGCTCCTCGTGCGCTTTGGGAGGAGCCGGGGGCCGGGAGAGGGTCGCGCATCCCAGCGGGGGGCTGCTGCCTCTGGACGGGTGCGAGCAACCAGGTCAGAGGAGAGAAGCCTCATTTGCTCTTTGCCCGCTGTTCACGGGCGCGTCTCCGGAGCAGGAGGACACAGCGGTGCCGTACAGCACAGCGCGGCTATAGCCTGCTGTCAAGGCCAGAGGTGTTAGGCTTTTTCTAATTCAAAAGCAACAACTTAAACTGGAATCTGCCTGACACTAAGGTGAAACTCTACATGTTGTACCTCCTCTTGTCCCACCTTTCTCATTGCCGCTCTGTAACCCCTTCCCCACAGCAGCTAGCCACGGTAGTTGTGTGGTAGTTAGGGCAGTTACACCCTGGTCCATCTGATAGACTGTAACTTTGGTGTTCCGTTCAGAACATATGAATTACCGGTAAGACAGTTTCGCATTATTGCTACAGCTATTTTCAAATAGGTTTTCTCTTTTTTCTATCACTACACAGCTGGATAAATCTGGGTGTTCCTTTCTGGAATAAAATGATAGAGAATGGTCACTGCATTTTGAGGCAAGAGGTAGAGGTAATTGCTAAGCTAACTTTGGAATAAGCTGCAGATAAGTCTGGATAAGCTACAGATTAGTGTGGAAAAATTAGACCTGACAGATTACCATATGCATTTCAAACTGAATTTCTGTTGAACAGATCATTGGTATCTATATCAGATTTTTCATTAAAAAATACTCATTTTTATAAATATATCTTAAGATTCTCTTTGTTGATTACAATGTAAAAAAGAAGGAATAACTGTGTATGGACAATGATAAAGTAGCCTGTTGATAATAAATATTTGTCAGGTCTTGTCACATCTGTACACATTCCAATGTTACTGAAGAGACACCACACTGATAAAAAAAAATACCCTCAGAAAAATCAATGGATTTTGAGCTAAAGCAGTTGCTAAACACACAGAAAACATCTTTATCCAACAGCCATAGCGCTGTGAAAATTCCCAAGCCTTGCATTGGTACAGCTAAGGAAAATTTAATCTTCCCAAATACTCATCAGGGCACTCCATCCTGCAGACCTGACAGCCCCACTTATAATTAATTATACAATTTCGATGGGAATATCGACTAAACAAAGCTATAAATCATAGAAAAAGTCAATAGGCATGGACACATTCAATCATGTCCCGACCAATGATTACTACTCTTAAAATACAATAATTATTTTCAGGAGCCAGCTTGAATTAAATTTCTGTCAGGCTGGTACAAGACCGGCGGTTGATGAAGGATGCGATGGATTTTTTGGGTTGAATTTGGCACAGAGACATTTATCCTTTTAGATAGGTAGTTTGTTTTTAGTGATCATGGTGCTGCGTGTTTAACTAGACCATGAAGATTAGATTATCTCCAATGGCTCATTATATCGTTTATCTTTTCCTTCCATGTTTGATCTGGAAGATTTCCCGCTTCTTGATGCACGAATGAAATGACTGCTGATTTTGAAATGGAATGTGCTTAAGTGGGATTCTGCCTATGCCTTCACACACCGCATCCAGGTATGTAAAGTCGACCAGCAGTCACCCGAAATACCACTAGGATGTGGTAAATCGCAGCAACAGGAATAGCTCTGCTCGACTTCAGAAACGTACGGGGAAAAACCAAAAACGACAAACATTTGAATTGTTTTTAAAAAAGCTAAAAAAATTATTAAAATAATACAGGTAGAGGAAAATCTGGGACAGGAATGGGATTAGTATGGAAACAGGAATTGGGATTAGTGTTATTACTTTGAATTAAATGCCCCCAAAACTGCAAAACATCAGTGAAAGAAACGTTACATATTTCCCAAGGATGCATTCACCTTGTAAATTTAAAAAAACCCAAACCCCAAACCAACTTATCTCACAGTAACTGTGTTTTTAAGATATGTTGCCTACACAGGTATTTCTCGTGGTGAGCGTACACGCCACACGTGAAAGATGTGCTGCGAGAAGGGACAGCAGTCCCAAGGAACAGGATGGACGTCAACAGATGCCGAAAGGAGAAACAGATCTTCACGTTCCTCACGAGTCTGACTCATCAAACTCTTCTGACCTCAAGGAATGAGTGAGATCTCAGATTCTCACAGGGAATTAACCTCCTAGGTGTAAGTCAACTTAAAACCAGAGAGGGTCAGAGGGCTTCAGCTGTCCTCTTTGCCCTGGATCCTAGCAGACAGCCCTCCCAACAGCCCGGTTCTCTACGAACAGCAAGAAAATAAGCCGTAGGTAGGAGAGAAGAAGAAAGACAGGGGAGAGTCGTGGATCCTGCGCACATCCCATCCCTCCGCAAAAAGCAGCATTACACTGCGTGAGCAGGCACACCGCGTAACTGGTACAGAGTGCGGCAAAACCGAGAGGTGGGGACCAGGGCAAACGTGAAGGGCTTCTCAAAAAAGCTGAGACACAGAAGATGAATCCCTTGTCTTCTTTTATTTTGGGTATGAGGAAGGAAGGTGAAATTCAGCCACCCTGAGGAAAGGACTGAAGAAAGACGGGGAACCTTGGCTAGCTTGTCAGCCTGCACAAACGACTTTGACACACACAGTTTCCGCACAACACACACAGTTTTCTGAACTTTTCTTTGTCTAGTGTAGCCTGCCCTATTTATATAGCTCAGAATATCCAACATACGAATGCCGTTAGTTTATGCACACATAGGCAGGTCCAGATCCGACACACGCTAGCGCAGCTCTTCTGACGTCAGTGGAGCTGGGCCACTTTCCGCAAGCAGAGGGCCCGGCCCGTGGCATCCACAATAAGGCTCCCACACGCAATACGCACGTTCCTGGTTTTTATCTGCGCATAACTGTTTGGGTTGGGTTTTTCTTTTTGGATGCTTAATGTTTTTCCTTTAGATACGTAACTCCTAGGAACCTCAGATCACATTGAGAAAGCTGCAAGCAACGATACAGAGATTTTCCAAAATGAAGTGGCTACATTTTGAAATAAAATTACCTTAAATAAGATATAAAGCCATCCTCCACAGAAAAATCATAGTCCTCATTACGAATCAGAATGTTTGTGTTCCCCGTCTGCTTTCTCCTCATAGGAAGCCCTATATGATTGCCCAAACACTACCAGTCTGCTGCAGGGTTTGAGCTTTCTATTCTATTTATTCATGCGTTTCTATTATTCTTTGCACACTCAGAAGACCCAGGTATTTTCAGAACAGCTTTGCATTAAGGACTTTTCCTAAGTTACTATGGTGCACAGTGAAGAGCTAGTAAAGAAACAGGATGCTTGAAGAAACGCAGACCAGAGGACAGAGAAGAAAAGTGAATTGTCACATATACTTAATCTACAATTTTTTCTACGAAAAAGAAGGTAAATAGATGCCAAAGTTAAGAAGCTGTACACAAAATAACTGGCTAAGTGAGGAGGAGATTTGGAGCAGTTATTGTGTTAGATGATCTCATTCTGTAGACAGGAGGACTGATAAGGATAAAGGGCTGGTAGAGAAATGCAATTTGTATGTGAGTTCCCAATTTATTCCTTCAAAAGTGTTTAGCAATGAACTTACCGCAGTGCCATTGTTATCTCTAAATACATCTTGATTAAAATAGTCAAAGAGCTTCTTTTCTAATTGTAGCATAACCTAAAAAAAAATAGAGGAGAAAGGTCAGCAAAGCTCTTGGACTCAGCTACCTAACCCACAGCTGCTGGAAGCGAGCCTTTCAGAGACATGCAACCCTTTAAAATCACACGACATTTCTGTATGTCTAAAGCTCCTTGTCAGCTTGCCCATGTGGTTGACTGGCAATCACTTAAAAAGATCCAATTAACTGAGCATTAGGTGTGACAATCTATATCCCTCCCCTCCCTTTAAATTACCAGTTTGAAACAACTATATTCGTGCTTTGGAGAAAGGAAAGTGAACATTCAACAACGTTTCTATTTACACAGGGGGCACAGAGGGCATTAAGTTGTTTACCTTTCGGTCATTATCAGATTCACGAAATATCAGCTTGACTACTTCATTTGTGTCAGCTGCCCGGATAGTCTGCATTGTAGCCTTTGCACATAGTGTCTAATAAAAAAAAAACAAAGGGAGAAGGGGAAACTAGTTTACATGAAACGTAAGGCCACATTTAATCGAACTTTATCGATCTATGTATCTTCAATGCCCACCTGAAAATATGATTTGCTGTAGGTCAAAATACAAAGCATTGCTAATTGAAGTCACTTCCACTCATGATTGATTTAAAACAATAAACTCGATTACCGTTTGGAGAGAAACAGGCAACATTAAAAAAGTATCAGTCAGGTAAGGCAAATATTCATTTAACTTACCACCACGCACACAGGCTCTTTCACAGGTCTGCCACTGTATCACACATGACTTGTAAACATCCTCAAAAGCCACTTCCTACAGCTAACGACTCCACAGCCCCACCGCTTTCTGTACCGCCGATAACTACGTCGGCACTACAGTTCTGCGGGTTAACTCTTGTTTGCAAAGACTTCTGCCTTGTAGATGAATGTTCCAAGTGTAATTTAAAAGTCTGAGCAACACTTACACAATCCGACAGTAAGTTTCACAGTTTACTCTGGATAGCAAATTCCCCATGCATCATCCTTTTAAGTAAGAGACAACATCACATCTCTCGATATTTGGAGGACTGGCTGTCTGAAACATATTATAAATCAACACTTTACGAGGCGCAGAGGTATGAATTGCCGAGGAAGTGTCAGGCCTCGATTATCTGCCATGTGCCTGGCTGGGGCCCAGTTCCAATGGCAATCGGAGCTGACCGAGAGAATACTACAGCATAGGCTGTTTAAAGGGCTTGCTCTGTTGCATTGCAACAGGAGAAAATCTGGAGCTCTTAGCAAAGCAGTTAGGCATACATTTAACTTAAAAACATACTTTAGATTCACTAAACCTATACTTTTAGTGAAGCTTGAAGTATGTTAAGTGCTTTGAAATGCAGAAATAGACTACATCTGAACTGTGGGGTAGGCAGGCTTCACAAAGTGCTCTGCAGTTACGCAGCTTGGGCAAAGCAGCTGGATGGCGTGTAACGCTACCCCAGCCCATCTGCCCGGGATGCTGGAAACCACAAGGCAGAAGACAGAAAGGGGAACTGAGAAAACGCTGGCCTTACTCAAGGGCAGAGAGAAAACAGCCAAGATGCACACCCGCACCCGGGAGGCAGATCAGCATCCTTCGCCACAGCCGAGGCACAAGCGGCCGACAGGATCCATGCACAGCCTGGATAGGGATACCGGCAAAGGCTATCCTTCTGGATAAAAGCTTATTTTGCTAGAGGTTCTTAACAAGACCGTGCTAAAGAAAGTAACTCAGTCAAGAAGAGGCAAGAGGTGACTTCCCTGCTCTGCCTGTTCCACTCCTTTCCACAACGGTCAGACAAGAGATTTTCTTTTTGCATCATATTCACTTACTATAAAATAAGCATGTTCTGTGGCAATAGGGTAACAGAATTTCACATCCTACGACGCGCTGCTTTCTCTCACCAACAGAAATGCTTATCTTGGCATTCATTACTAGCAGTGCAGTATCCGTCAGGCACAATGCCATGGAACTACAGCTCACTCCTCAGTTCCCCATTCTGAATTTCTTCTGGAGGAAGACATACATGCCAAACATGTATTTAAACAAAAATCCGTCTGCTTCCAAAAATTTTAGATCTCCGTTGAGGTTACCAGTGCTAGAACGGAAACCACCTGTCGATGGACTTTTTGCCCCCATCTGATAGAACGACATTAAAAAATGGTGCTTGATAAAGGCCCCCACGTGTCGCCACAGGAGAAACAAAAAGCAACAAGCTAAGCGATTTCATTTTTAAAGGATAACTTGAGTGTGAGTCAGTGAAACTCAAATACAAATCTGATTTTTTTCTTCAAGTCTGTGGACTGAGCAGGTGGCGATTCCCCGTCTGACTGAAGGAACGATGGCCTTTCCTGACAATTTCTTCTTGATTGTCTGCCCCCCCCC